TAAAATTATCACATTATAGTATATGTTTACTGAGAACATTTTTAAAATTGAAGGGTTTACATGCATAATAATGTATGTATATCTTGTAAAGTTGCGAGCTCGCGAGGTTTTATTCATGGAGCTTAGGGACATGATTTATTGTTGGAGCCTTGCGGACTCACAAAGCGTATGGTATTGCTATCTCGCCCCCTCTCACATTTTGTATTTTGATTAAAAACTCCTGACCTTTTAAATTTTTAAAACTCGCTCATGTTTTTTTATTTATTTATTTTAATTAGACTTGGTTTTTTCTCTTTTTGCAATACTTCTTAAGCTAGAGGTGAGTTAGAGGTGGCAACCGAGTCAAATTACTCCGTAATTAAGTTGATCTTATACTAAAACTAAGAATTAGCTTATTAGACAGGTACAACTAGTTATTAGACGATGATGATATATCTTCAAGCGAGTTTGGGAATCAAATCCAATGTGGAGATTGTTAGGATTTTGTCTTTGATTCTTTGTGTAACTTCATGAGAATTAGATAGGGTTAATGTTTTATCATGATTAGGAGTTTGGGTTCTATCATGATTAGGATTTTTATCATGATTAGGAGTTTGTGTTTTATCATGATTAGGAGTTTGAATCCTATTCTAATTAGGAAGTTAGGCTAGAGATAGGATTTTGGTTTCCCTATATATATTCTTCTATTGGTGGAGGAAAAACAATGAAGAAAAAGTAGAGATGTAGTAGATGAGAGAGAGGGAGAGGGTTTCGTAGTCTTTATCCGTGCAAAAGATTACAAGGAGTGGGCTTTGGAGAGAATATGAGAGTTGATTATGTATGTGAGATTGAGAGACGAGAGTTGAGTGATTCCTCTTGTAGTTCTCCCTGATACATAGTGTGATTATGTATGTGAGATTGAGAGACGAGAGTTGAGTGATTCCTCTTGTAGTTCTCCCTGATACATAGTGAATTTCTCGTATTGTTGCCCCGTAGTCGTAGGTCGAAGTTGGTCGACTGAACCACGTAAATCTCGGTATTCTTATTCTTGATTGTGATTGTTCTATCTTATTGATTGGGGTTGGCTTCCGAGTTGCGCATATCGTGGTAGGCGGGGAGACTGAAATTCCCCAACAGCCATCATCCCTGAGCTCCAATCCCCCCGATCAGCGAGCTCCTCCCTCCCGACGTCAACCACCTTCTTGTTTGTGATTTAGAATGTTAATATATGTTTTAATTGGGAAGAATTTGAATGGAATTTGGTGAATTTTGACATTTTTGTTCCCAGATAGATTTACTATCCACAATTAAACTTTTGATCGAAGGTTTAGTAACTGGGTAAAATTAATTGGTAACTGTTGATTGCCTATGAAGAGAATGAACAAATGAATGCGTCTTTGGTAACTGTAGTGTATGGATGTAGTGCAAGGATTGTATACAGGAAATTTTGCATAAAATCAGCACAGTTTTTTTGGTGATTATATAACATCCTTGACGGGCATGCCGTCAGTGATAAACATCCCTGACGGCATGCCGTCAGGGATGTTATACACATCCCCGACGGGCATGCCGTCAGGGATATTTCAACATCCCTGACGGCTCCTGCCGTCAGGGAAGATGCCGTCAGTAATGCTTATTACTGGGTCCGTCAGGGATGTTTTTTCCCTGACAAGACTTTTTCTGACGACGTATCCTTGACGAGAAGCTGTCAAGGATACGTATCCCTGACGGGAAAGCCCGTCAAGGATGCCTATTTTTTTACTAGTGACACTTTGTTCTAGTCTTTTACTCTAAAAAAATTACACCTAATTAATAAATTCCGGTTATTAACACTCGTTTTTATTACTTCATATTCAACATATACGATAAGCTACTTGTTCCTGGGAAGCCTTAAATATGTATGCTATTAATTTTCTTCATCGTAATATTCTCTCGATCGTAATGATAGTATGGTTGTGTGTAATATGGTTTTCTTGAAACTATACCATCAGATAAATTGACAAGAGCTTTGCTATAGAGACCCAAAATATGGGACCAACAGGGGGAACAAGTGATGTGTCTCACTCCTATTTCATAATGAGCTAGTCACCATTAAGGAGAGACAAGTGATGTGTCCCCTTCCTATTGCATAATGAGCTGACCATCATTAATGATAGTCAGCTCATTATGCAATAGGAAGGGGATGCATCGCATGTTCTTCTTGTTGGTCTCATATTTTGGGTCCATGTAGCAAAATTCATGGAGAAGAGTAATTATCTGAAACCATCAAAGTGTGCTTTGAGAGAGATGCGTTAGTTAGGATAGAAAAGTACATATTTTGTAACTAGATGCATAGGAAAATGACAAGTCACATGTTGACAATTAAAATTAATTGCTGATGATCCCTCTCATTTATAATATCTGTCACGTCTCAGCTAAGTTACTAAAACACTAATCAGTCCAGGTGCTGGGAATAATATGATGTTAATTAATAGTTTTAAGTATTGATGAGGGGGCCTGTCCGATTGAGTTATGATAGAACAAATACAAGAGAACTTTCAACGCGCATCATTAAACGCTTCACGTTCTGCCATTAAGGCGTGCGTATAACCAGGAACCTATTTAATTATTGTATAATAAGTCCACAAATATTTGCGCAGAGAAAGCAATAAGGGCCCGTTTGGTTGTATGTTTTTACCATGTAAAAGGATGGAAAGTGTAAACAAGTGGGTCCCAATGTCAGCTTTCATCACTTTCAATTGTTTGTTTGTAGTTGTGAAAATAGTGTAAAGTGATTTCATATGCTGATGTGGCTTGTAAAGTGATTTCATAAAAAAAAAGACATGATTTTAGGAGAAAGCTGACATTGAAGTCTGGAAAAAATAATTCCAACCAATATGATCATTTGAGTAGGGACCACTATTTACACTTTCCAAACAAATAATTAAAGTTTTATTTTGCAAACCAAACAAGTGTTTTATGATTCTAATGGAATCAAAAACAAACAAAGGAAAATATAAAAGTGAAATTGATGAGGTGGACAACAACTTTTCAAGTTGTGTCATAAATACACAACTTTACCAACAACAACCAAACAGCCCCTAAACTTCAGTGGAAATATGTATTTGTGTTGTATATATGTGTTTCACAGTACTCAACTGAGATACGATCTATGAATTTTTGCGGATTATTGCTCTCCCTGACTCACTCAAGTATAATATATGACTCACTCAGGCGGACTGAACCCACTTGGCTACGTCGTATCCCTTGGCCAAAGAGTGGTTGAGTCCACTCATGGGTATGGATCTCAAAGCCAACTAAGAGTACATGGGAATTGAGTCAAGTGAAAATGTAGCGAAGAAATGGAGTGGAATAAATGTTGGTATGAAATGCTCATCTCCGTTTTTATGTATCAATGCGATTAGAGAATGAAGTGAGAATGACAATAGTTTTATTTTTGGTATCTACTTTCCTTTATAACTAAAGGAAAACCTTAAAGTGAACAGTAAACATTTTGATTATCCACGTATTTATCTCCAATTAAACATTCCACATGTTCTCTCTCCACGTTTCCCTATTCGTATTTGGGAAAAACCACCCCAGCCCACGTTCTCTCACCCTTCTCTCTTCTTACCTCTTCCCCTCTTTCTTCTCTCCTTCGAATCCTCAACAAAAAACCAAAAAATGCGATCTTTAGCCTCTCTGCTTCCTTCGTCTCCTCACGGTCCATGGCCGCCACCGCCTCTGATGTCTTTCAGAAAGTTCAGATCACCAGGGACGACACCGTGAGCTGCTCTTCCTTTCCCACTTTATTTTTTCTCGATCTCTAATTTGATCTTCAAAGCACTAACGTCTCTGAGAAACCCTTCTCTTCCTATTTTTTCGACTTTTTCATATAATAAACTGATTGCTTAGTTTCGAAGGGTTTCGATCTTTAGCGTTAGGGTTTTGAAGCAGGGGACGACTCTTGGAATATACAAAAAAAGTATCGGTTCTTTAATTTCTTTCTCTCTTTGATATTTCGTGGTGATTGTCATTTTTCTATCTGGGTGTTCACGGTGATCAATTTTCATAGTGAAAATCTTCGAGGTTAGCGCTTTGATTTTTTTTTTTTGTAGATTTTGTATTTGCTTTCATCTGTCCCCTTTTGTTGTTTTCGACAAATTTTCATAGAAATATTTATTTCCTAGACTGTTGATTTGGAATCTATATCTAGAGTTGTGATAACTGATTTTGCAGCCAACTGAATTTTGATTTTATTTTTTCTAAATAATATTTACTGAAAATTTTCCCTTTGTTATTATTATATGATTTTAGAAGTAACTTATCTTCTTTAAGGGGAAAAAGCTAATTTCTGTTTATAATTTGCATATTTAGATAAAGGAGCAATGAAGGAAGAATCAAATCAAAGTACATTTTGGATGGCATGTTTCTACTTGAGATATTGGAGCAGTTTATACATCTCTTTCCCCTAATAAGTTTCAGAGATCACTGTTCAGATCAATGGCATCAAATACCGACCAAATAGAAGAGCCATCTTCTCACAGTCCTGCCCACTGCATCTCGGGTCAGTGAATGAAGGAAGAATCCAATACCCTTATCATGGTAAGACTACAAAATTTGATACCTGCTTATTATATTTGCTTCAATATGATCGGCAGTGCCATGTTCTTCACAGTTGGACATATAAATGAAGTATGAGGAAGGAAGATGGTATAGGAATTTAATTTTAGTAATTGGGGTTGTATATAGTTTCTTTTCATGCTTAATTATTAAAAAGTTAGTGCTAGGGAATATACATATATGTGGTGCTATTCCAGTATTATGTTGAAACTATTCAGAACTTACAAAAAATGGGACCAATACTTCTGTTGGCTCCATTTTAAGGTTAATATTTTGTTAGTTTTCAAAAGAACATCACAGCCCAGAATCATATATTAACATCAAATTTGTCAGGGTCATATTCTGCAGCAATACTTTCTTCTATAGGAAAAAGCCATAATCAAGTTCTTCATTACTTGACATCACCTTTTTTTTCAGGATGGGAGTATTCAACTGACGGAAAATGTGAGAAAATGCCATCTACCCGCAAGCTTAATGTGCAAATAAAATCTTTACCATGTTTCAAAAACGAAGGAATGGTCTGGATTTGGCCAGGTGATGAACCTCCAATGGCTATTCTTCCTTCTTTGCAACCTCCTCCGGGATTTCAAATTCATGCAGAGGTATGATGTTGTACACTAATCATTAAATATTTCAATCAAACATGTGGAATATGTTGAAGGGAATTAGTACATTCTTACCTTTGTTTTCATGTGAGCAGATTGTGATGGAGCTACCAGTAGAGCACGGGCTTCTCCTTGACAATATTCTAGACCTTGCACATGCTCCTTTTACTCATACTTCCACCTTTGCAAAGGGATGGAGTGTTCCAAGGTATGGATTTATTTTGAAGATGTCTACAATTCATTCAATCGTGAGGTTGAAAATAGAATAAGAAGAGAAAATAGAGACTAAGAGCATATGAACATGTATTCACTGGTTTCTCATGCAAATAAATGGTTCATGTTTTGATTAGTTCATGTTTTGATTAGTTGTTCATCACTATTATTGTGAGGTTGACTCATCGCTATTATTGTAGTAGGATTCTACGTTGTAAGTATCAGAAAGAGTACTAAGGGTTTGTTTTCGTTGATAATATTAGATACTTGATTAGTTCATGTTTTGATTAGTTGTTCATCTTCATGATAATCTAATGTAACTCATTTATTTTCTTCGCATCATAGATAGTGAAATAAGCCCGTATTTCTAGAATGATATCCTTGCAATATTTTCATAAGTGAAATTATTTGTTGGATGTTGTCCATCTACAGATGTTTTAAGTACAATGATACTGTTCATTTGCTACATTTTTAGCAGGTTTGAGCTTTCTTTAACTTATACCCTTGCTATTGATTTTCTGAATGAGATTGGAGCAATGAATTAGTTCCAATTTTACATTCTCCAGTATATCTAGTTCAATATCATTTCCTATTCACGATTAATTAGTTGAATATGAGTAGTATTTATTGATTTGTACCAATTGTTCATTATCATAGACATACAGTCATTAACAGAATTGTTAGACCCTAGAGGGGGGGTGATTAGGGTCTTATGCTAATCTAATCCGATTAAATGCCAATTAAAATTAATTAATATGTTATCCTAGCAAGTATAAGATACAACAAGATATGTGAGCTAGGATAAACAATATGAACAAGGGATATATCCTAGCAATGAGATATACTATGAGTTATATGCAAGGATATGAAACTAAGGGTGATATAAACATAAATAAGATAAACAAGATAGTGGATAACATGAACTAAGAGTAAATGACAATGGCGATATAAGATATGAGCATGAATATAAATGAACGCCAAAGCACACTCAAACAAGCAATATGATCACGCAGTTCGGACCTTCCGTCCTACGTCTCCGCTCCCCACTCCCGGGGAGAAATCCACTAACACAATCCGGTTTGGAAGCCGGAACTTCTTCTACACACTCGGTTTTCTAGCTAACCGAAAACTCTACAACTCACACTCTTGCAATCACACTCTACACCCACTAAGTGTTGGACCTAGCCGTGTCTCCCTCAAGTGCTCGGTTACAACCTCTCCCTAGGCACGTCAACCGACGCCACTCCTCTTGGGACGATCCCCGACTCTCACCACACACTCCTCACTCGGTGTACAAGAGTATTACAAAGTGATTTAACAATTAAGCACAATATAGCAAATGATTGTTCTCTCTAACAAGGTGAGAACTCAATTAGGCTCAACTCAATGTCACACTATCCCACAACCCAATTATATAATGTATGCAAATACAATAAGCTCAATAGGTTGTGTGTGAACAAAGAGATAATAAAATCAACTAAACTCAATATGAACACTAGCTTAATAAAAAGATAATCAAACAATATAAAATATGAAGCTAGATTGAGTTTAGAAAACTTCTCAATAGATCAAGAGTGGAAGGAGAAGAGTTGGATGCTCAAACACCAATAGATGATCTCCTCAAGCTCTTGTGGAAGTGATTCACAAAACCAAAACACTCAAATGCTTAAAAGCTTATAAACACACTTAAACCAAACATAAACCCTTGATTAAAAACTTTCTTAAACTTGTTTTTAAACTCTCTTAGATTAACTTGAAAAGACATCAGCAATGGGGTATTTATACCCACTAGAAATCTCAGCAAAAACCCAAGTCAAAAGACAAAAACAGCCCCAGTGAATCAGCTCAGAAAAGAGCCGTTGGAAGCCAACGGTCAACTTGTCGGTCGACCGAAAATATCGTCGGTCGACCGCGATGAAGATCCCAACCTGGGAATCGAGCAGAAACAGCGTCGGTCGACCGTACCGGTCGACCGGAGGAAATTTCGGTCGACCGACCAAAATTTCGGTCGACCGACCAAAATTTCGGTCGACCGACCAAAATTTCGGTCGACCGACCAAAATTTCGGTCGACCGACCAAAATTTCGGTCGACCGACCAAAATTTCGGTCGACCGACCAAAATTTCGGTCGACCGGATTACTGTAGCAATGCACAGATGTCTACAATTCATTCAATCATGAGGTTGAAAATAGAATGAGAAGAGAAAATAGAGACTAAGAGCATATGAACATGTATTCACTGGTTTCTCATGCAAATAAATGGTTCATGTTTTGATTAGTTCATGTTTTGATTAGTTGTTCATCACTATTATTGTGAGGTTGACTCGTAGCAGGATTCTAAGTTGTAAGTATCAGAAAGAGTACTAAGGGTTTGTTTTCCTTGATAATATTAGATACTTGATTAGTTCATGTTTTGATTAGTTGTTCATCTTCATGATAATCTAATGTAACTCATTTATTTTCTTCGCATCATAGATAGTGAAATAAGCCCGCATTTCTAGAATGATATCCTTGCAATATTTTCATAAGTGAAATTATTTGTTGAATGTTGTCCATCTACAGATGTTTTAAGTACAATGATACTGTTCATTTGCTGCATTTTTAGCATGTTTGACCTTTCTTTAACTTATACCCTTGCTATTGATTTTCTGAATGACATTGGAGCAATGAATTAGTTCCAATTTTACATTCTCCGGTATATCTGGTTCAATATCATTTCCTATTCACGGTTAATTAGTTGAATATGAGTAGCATTTATTGATTTATACCAATTGTTCATTATCATAGACATACAACCATTAACAGAATGGTAATATTTCTTTGGTTCAGGTACTGAAAGGAAGAGACTGAAAGGAGGCAGAGAAAAGAAAACTAATGGAGAACAAAAGAGATCCTACTTTTGCCCCCCCCCCCCCCCTCTAGGGTCTAACAAGAATGATAATATTTCTTAGGTTCAGGTACTAAAAGGAAGAGACTGAAAGGAGGCAGAGAAAAGAAAACTAATGGATAACAAAAGAGATCCTACTTTTGCTGTTCCAAAACATTATATTTTGGACTAAGTTTAGTAATTATCAATAATGATTACAATAATGATTATATATTTATGCTTTGTTTTATAAGTTCAATTTTAGATCTTAGTTTTCTAGAACATAAAGCTTTCATGTAAGATTTAATACTGTTGCATTTCATATATAGTTATATATAGTCCATGTAAGACTTATTAGTAGTTTAGTACTGTTTGTGTGTGTATGTTTTTGAAATAAATATTGAATCGAACTGATGCATGCTATATAAACCTTAAAAAACTTTCTGAATTAATTTATTTTAAATGTAAGTCTATACATACTAATCTGGGTAGCATATGAGGAGATTAGGAATACTTGATTACTTACTATGTAATTGCTTTCAAATACTTGGTATTATACAAAACAAGTAAACTAATTAGTGAACATATATTGTACGTAATTTCATTCTGAGGAAAAGCTTGAACAACTAAACAAGGAAAATTGTTCAAATGCTTAATGACTATTTGTAATTTCATTCTGAGGAAAAGCTTGAACAACTAAACAAGGAAAATTGTTCAAATGCTTAATGACTATTTGACAAAATTTGCTTAACAGGTAATCGTTATTGTTCAAATGCTTAATGACTATTTGACAAAATTTGCTTAACAGGTAATCGTTCGGCTTACTATCAGGGAAATTATGTACCATTAGTAAATTTAAGATGTACACCAAAAGGATCGGATAACCGTGCTTTGCACGGGGTGCACACTATGTATTCTAATGATTCAACTCCAATATTCTTAATGTAGCAAATAAAAAAAAGGAGAACCAATAGAAGTGGAAAAGAGAACTAACTTCTGGAGGACTTGGCAACCACTTCCGAAGAGTTATCAACCATAGTTTATGTGTGAATATTTGTGTTGCTTATGTCTAATCATATTATGTAGTTGTAATTATGCAAAGGTTTAAGATGTATCTTGAAACTTTATTTCGATACTTTTGTAATTATGTAATTGCAATAGATTTGATCTTTTTTATATGTATATGTAAAACATTTGTTGTTTTATTCAAAAACTTATACATGTTTACAGGAGCAGAAATAACATCATATATCACAGTTGTAATGTTAAATGCCAACATCAAACAGCGCAGGTACAACCACTTCTGAAGAGTTATCAACCATAGTTTATGTGTGAATATTTGTGTTGCTTATGTCTAATCATATTATGTAGTTGTAATTATGCAAAGGTTTAAGATGTATCTTGAAACTTTATTTCGATACTTTTGTAATTATGTAATTGCAATAGATTTGATCTTTTTTATATGTATATGTAAAACATTTGTTGTTTTATTCAAAAACTTATACATGTTTACAGGAGCAGAAATAACATCATATATCATAGTTGTAATGTTAAATGCCAACATCAAACAGCGCAGGTACAATCATATACAACAATGTGGGCTTATGCAGTGGGAGCTTCTTTAGCTTACAACGCCAAGAGAAGCGCTATGAAATCCAACATTTGCTTGATTCATGCAAAGTCCTTGGTTGCTTGAGAGTGATTTATTTTGATGTAGAACTAATTTCAGCTGAGCTTCTAATTTTTGTGGATTTATTTATTTAAATATTACGTTCTTGGGTTTCAGGATTCATGCTCAATCTCTGATACTGGCTGTGCTTTTGGCGCTGCGATTATGCACTACTATGACATTGAAGAATGAATAAGGATATAGTGAAGTGAACTTATTTGGAGTTATGCAGGGTTTTCATTTGTAAATGAGCTTTATCTAATGGCTATTGGAACGTATTAGATAAACGAGGTTTATCTAATGGCTATTGAAGAATAAATCCTGTTTACACTCTTCATCAATCCTCTGCCGCCTGAAGATAGTTCAAGAAATTTCTTCATCAGGTTAGAATCAATCCTTTTTACATTCTTCATCAATCCTCTTCCGCCTTAAGATTTTTCTTGCGTTTTCTCCGCCTGAAGATTTGTCTTGCGTTTTCTCAGCCTGAAGCTTTTTCTTGCATTTTTTTCCGCCTGAAGATTTTTCCGCCTAAAGATTAAGTATGTCTCCTTTTCTTGCGTTTTATTTTAT